AATTGATCATTCTTTTAATGTTCAAAAAATTCATAAAATACTAAGAAATGTAGACACGTTTTAGTGTTAGATACATCCGTATCTAGACAAATTAAAGACAAGTAATTTGGGACGGAGGTTGTAGTTCACAAATGTTTTAGAAATGATAACTTTTTCAAATGTTCATGCTTTCTTTTTCAAAAACACTTTTTGAAAAGAAATAACTATTCATTCTTTTTTGAAAATAAAATGGAAAACCCAAGTAAAAACTAATGAAATAGAAAAAAAAACACTTGAAAAAACACTGCTAAAAATTGCCTGTTTCAGGAAGAAAATCGCTCACTCTCTAATAAGGGCCGGCGTAATCGAGGGACGCTTTGTGTGTTTGCCCGTTGGGAGCTGTAGTTAACCCTCTGTTGAGGTTATTGTAAAAAAAATGTTGGGGCATTAGATTAGTCTATGCTTATCCTTTTTTTAGATTAGTCTACGCTCATCCATCACTTCGGTCCTTCCAGCGGTGTCTTCCGGGTTCTCCTCCAGCCACTGTGGTGCGTGCAACATTCAAAAAGAAAAATGAGATAGGGTGGACATGGGTCTCCATTGTCTGAGCTTTGACCCTTCCGTAAAGAGATTCTTGGGTTATTCTTTGATCCTGGTGGTACACACATCATCAGATCCAATGATGAGATATACAAGTAGGTCTTCGGTACTGCTTCAGCAACAACAACATAAATCAGATCGGGTTTGCTATTTCACATCTAGTAAATATGAAATAGCTATCTCACATCTAAGTTTACAACCACAGGATTAAACTTGCAATAAGATTTGTGCAATTGCAAAATAATCTGTCTCGTTCTGTTCCAGTCCTCATCGATGCGTGTTCTGTGTCTTGTTGGACCGTTTTTGTTCTCTTTGCTAGCTCGTCCCCTGTGTCTGGCCTGGGCCTTGTTGTTGTGGTCCTTTGTTTTTTTCGCTGTTGGCTGCGTTTTTCTATTTCTCTTCACAAGTCTCTGCTACGACTCGCTTCTAGTTCTTCTCATTTTTGTACACTCCCATTTTGGCTCCCAGAATTTGTTTTTTTGTCCATTTCTGTTTTTTGTTTTCTTTTTTAGTTCATTATTTCTTTTAAATTATGAACTATTTTTTCAAATACATGATCTTTTGTTTTTATTTATATTTTCTAGTTTCTCATTTTATATTTTTTCTCCATTTATTCTTTACTTATTTGTTTAAAATTCATGAACTAGTTTTCACTTTGTCAGATGTTCATTTTAAATGTCGTACAAATCTTGATGGCCGGTCATTTTGTCACGCGCACTTTGTGTTGCGTTGTGTGTTTGGTGTCTACTTGTCGACTTATTCTTGCGTACGTCTTTTGTTGTGCCATTTTCGCGGCGTGGTCTAGGTCCCGTTTTGGATTGGTTTGCTAATTCTCATCTAAATGAGAGTTAACAATGTTTTAGCTAACTCATATTACTGTTAGATAAACGTGCTTCTGAGTCGTGCTCGTTGTTATTGCGTCCTGTTTTTTGTTTGTCCCTCGTGAAGCAGTGATACCTGATATGACAGTTTTAGTGGTCCGTTATTATGTTTTGTGTATTGTTTTTTTGCGGCTTAGCTTTTTTTGGAGGGCCACGTATCTTTTTATTCTCTGTTTTGTTTTATTTTGGTTTGACGTGTAGCAAGATAAGATTGTAACTAGATTTTTCTTTCTAGATTTGCTAAATCTAATCTAGATGAGTTTTAGCTCATCTAAGTCTATAAATGTCTGATTTGTTTACTTTGATGTTTGCACAAACTCGATCATGCACGCCCGTGTTAGCTCGTCCTTTTTTGTCGCTCGTCTTCCTGTCCCGTTTGTTTTGTGTCATCATGTTCTCATGTTTCTTTTCACCTGGGCCCATATATCTCATCGTTTGGGGGCTCGATGGTGAAGCTCATCCCCTATCTTCTCATCGACCAAACTTTGGCCCCTGTTATTTTGCATGTGTTTTGTTTTTCATCCCAGTTATAGGTTCACCCTTTGACATGCAACTGAGTCTGTAGTTTGTTTCATCCTAGTTGCAACTCGACCCTTGACTCGCAACTGGGCATAGTTTCGTAGTTGCCCCAGGAGCAAATCCACCCTCGAATCGTAACTAGAGCATGTGCTTTTGTTTTCATCCTAGTTGCATGTCCACCATTGATACGCAATTGGGCATGTAGTTTGTTTCATCCTAGTTGCATGTCGACCCTTGAGTCACAACAGCACTCATAGTTTCATAGTTGTCCCAGGTGCAAGTTCACCCTTGACTCGCAACTGGATCATGTGTTTTTGTTTTTCATCCTAGTTGCAGCTCCACAATTGACACGCAACTGGGCCTATAGTTTCTCTCATCTTAGTTGCAAGTCGACCCTTGACTCGCAACTTAGCACGTAGTTTCGTAGTTCTCCCAGGTGCAAGACCACCACCTACTCACAACTAGGCTCGTAGTTGTCAGAGTTGCAAGCCCACCATTGATTGGCAACTTACCATGTAGTTTTACAGTTCTCCCAGGTGCAAGTCCACCATCTACTCGCAATTGGCTCGTAGTTGTCAGAGTTCCAAGCCCACCCTCGACTCGCAACTTGAGCATGTGTTTTAGTTTTTCATCCCAGTTGCAGGTCCACCATTGGCACGCAACTAGGATTGTACTTTGTCTCATGTTAGTTGCAAGTCGACCCTTGACTCGCAACTAGGCACGTAGTTTCGTAGTTATCCTAGTTGCATGTCCCCCCTCGACTTGCAACTAGGCTTGTAGTTGTCCAAGTTGCAAGCCCACCCTCGACTCAAAATTGGAGCATTTTTTAAAATCCTAGTTGCAAGTCCACCATTTAACTTGCAACTGGCCCATAGCTTGTTTCCCTCTCAGTTGTAAGTCGACCCTTAACTCGCAATTGAGCTTGTATTTTCTTAGTTGTCCCAGTTGCAAGTACACCTTCGACTTGTAACTGGTCTCGTAGTTGTCCGAGTTGCGAGCACCCCCTTGACTCACAACTGGGGCTTGTGCTTTATTTTTCATCTTGATGCAAGTCCAGCTTTGACTCGCAACTGGGCCTATAATTTATTTCATCCCAGTTGCAAGTCAACCCTTGACTCGTAACTAGGGTTCGATCTTTTTTGTCTCAATTCCAAGTCCACCCCTCAACAACGAACAAACCGCAGATGAATCAGCCCAACTAGCTAGGACACTTTTTTGTTTTGTTTTCTTCATGATTTTCTGTTTTCTATTTTATCATTTTTGGCCAATGGTTTTCCTCTTGTTTTAATCCCACTTGCAAGTCCATCCTCGACTTGTAATTGGGCTCGTTGTTTCTTAGTTGTCCAGTTGCAAGTCCACCCTCGACTTGCAACTAGGGAACAATCTTTTTTGTCCCAGTTGCAAGTCCACCGATGACTTACAACTAGGGACCGACTTTTTTTTGTCTTAGTTGTAAGTCCACCCTTGACTCGAAACCTGGGCCCATCCTTTTCTGTCCCAGTTGCAAGTCAATTTTTGACTCGCAACTCGGGCCCGACCTTTTTTGTACCAGTTGCAAGTCCACCCTCGACTCACAACTGGGGCCGGATCTTTTTTGTCCTAGTTGCAAGTCCACCCTCGACTCGCAACTCGGGTCCAGTCATTTTTTCTTCCAGTTGTAAGTCCATCCTTGACTCGCAACTAGGGCCCGACCTTTTTTTGTCCCAGTTGCAATCCCATCCTTGACTCGTAACTAGGACCCAACCTTTTTTTTTATCCCAATTGCAAGTCCACCCTCAACTCGCGACTGGGGTTCCGATATTTTTTGTCTCAGTTGCAAGTCAACCATCGGCTCGCAACTGGGTTTGACCCTTTTTTATACCAATCCAAGTGAACCATCAACATGCAACCGTGACCTTTGATTTTCTTTTTGTCGTTAGTTGCAAGTCAACCATCAACTCACAACTAGATCCGACCATTTTTTAACCAGTTGCAAGTTTCCCATTGACACGCAACAAACCCTAGATTATGTTTTTTTCGAGTTGCAAGTTCATCCTTGACTTGCAACTAGCCAAGATTTTTAGGACACAATTGCAAGTCCATCATCGACTAACTACCGGCTCGACCTTTTTTTATCCGAGTTGCAAATCCACAACCGACTCACAACTAGGCCGAAACTTTTTTGTCCTAGTTGCAAGTCCACCATTAACATGCAATTTGTCAATTTGATTATTTTTCCTTTTTTGTTATCAGAAAGTCACAAATTTAAAAAATGTTCAATGTATTTTTTTTAAAAATTGTTCATTTAAAAATTCAGAATTTCATTAGTTGTTCACATTTTCTAAATAATGTTCAGAATTAAAACTTTCAGAAATATTAAAAAAATAAAAATTGATTGTGTTTAAAAAAAGTTGGAATCAAAATTGTGTTCAAGATTCAAAATATGTTTGCAAAATGTTCACAACTTCCAGAAAATATTCGTATTTTAAATTTGCTCCCTTTTTCAGAAAAATATTCAAAGTTCCTTGTCGTTCGCTCGTATGTGCAAAGCTAGCTCAAACGATCAATCAAAGTGCTTGCTTGTGTGCTTGGTTTATTAAAGAACAATTTGACCACTTCCGGCTATACGCGTTGCCCTCCGGCCGTGGCTTGCAACGCGTAGCGACCACGGCCGAACTTTTTTAGCACGTGTAGCTATACGTGAATCATGATAGTTTTCTTAGTTTTATCTTTAATAACTAGCAATTTTTTAAAACATAGTGAGACAAATTGTGCTAAGAGATCATCTTTTGTCTTATCTTAAATAAAAGAAAACAATTTTTTTCTTATGAGTTCTCTCTCCTCCACCTCATTATTTATCCTATGTGACACTCCTAAGATAGCACCATTGTAGAGTACATGCCCTAATATAAAATTACATTTTTACAGCGGATAATTTTCCTTTTTAGCCCCTTTCCAAATAGTGGAGCCTTTCCTAATTCCTAGCATCAGTCAGGATGAGATCCGCGAGCCCGGGAAAAACGCACGATCCACCAGGTAGCAATGGCCTTGGAGGGCGGTGCTGGCATTGGCAATGGCATAATCAAGCGACCGCCGCAGCAATGCTCGGTCGCCGTGGAGACGGCCGGTCACCGCGCCGACGTGGAGACCGAGGAGGAGGACGAAGGAAAGCCATGGATCGCGAGGAAGTGGATCTCGTCGCTTGCGGTTTGCCTCGTCGCGCTGCCCTTCCTGGCGATCATGGTTAGCCGGCGAGACAGGCCGTTGCCGCTGGCGTCCGGCTGGACATCGGCGGCGACGGCAAGGACGACGTACGACCGCCGAGGTAGGAACCGTCGAGCCGATAAATGCGCCTCCCTCTTTATCTTCCTCCGCCGTCTCGTCATGGCGCGTTCAATCTTGCATGCGCCATGTTTCCGAACGAATTTAATTCATGCATGGCGAGAAGAACTTGCGTTGAAGATTGAACACCAAAGGCCAATCGATCGCCATTTGCCATGAACTCATGACAGATACTCCTATTGCGCATCTCGTGCTGGTGCTTAATCAGTTAACTGTACTCCAAATTAGGGTAAAGAGGCGCTAATTTATCTCATGTGTTGCCTTGCAGAATCCAATCAGGATGGGCTCCTCGGAGGCCTGCTTGTTCCCGGGTTCGACGAACAATCGTGCATCAGCCGGTACAAGTCCACCTCCCACCTCAAGAAGCTGGCGCGCTCGCCGTCGACACACCTCGTGAAGCGGCTGCGGGAGCAGGAGGCGCTGCAGAGGCGGTGCGGCCCGGGCACCGAAACATACCGGCGAGCGGCGGAGCGACTGGGGCCCCGCGGAAACGGCAATGGCACAACCACGGACGACGACGCTTGCAAGTACCTCGTGCTGGTGCCGTACAGGGGCCTAGGGAACCGGATACTGGCCATGGCGTCGGCGTTCCTCTACGCCATGCTCACCGACCGCGTGCTGCTCGTCCACCGGGGCACGTCGCTGCCCGACCTCTTCTGCGAGCCGTTCCAGGAGACGTCGTGGCTGCTGCCACCGGACTTCCCGCTCGGGGACCTCGAGAACCTGACCGGCGAGGTGCCGGAGAGCTACCGGAACCTGGCGCGGGAGTACGGCCGGGCCGCGTCCGTGTCCGACCTCCCGTACGTCTTCGTCGACCTCGACCACGCCTGCACCTACCACGACAAGCTCTTCTACTGCGACGACCACCGGGAGTTCCTCCACCGCGCGCCGTGGCTGGTGATGAGGACGGACGGCTACTTCGTGCCGGCGCTCTTCCTGAACCCGGCCTACCAGGAGGAGCTCGACAAGCTGTTCCCGCGGAAAGACTCGGTGTTCTACCTCCTGGCGCGCTACCTCTTCCACCCGACCAACAAAGTCTGGGGACTCATCACCAGGTTCTACGATTCGTACCTGAAAGATTCGGACGAACGGCTGGGCATCCAGGTGAGGGTGTTCGACGGCGACACGCCGTTCAAGCACGTCCTGGACCAGATCCTCGCGTGCACCTCACAGGAGCATCTGCTGCCCGAGGTGGTGGCGCAGGACCCGGGCCCGCCGGCCTCGACCGCCGGCGCGCGGTCGAAAGCCGTCCTGATGACCGGCCTGAGCTCGTGGTACTTCGAGAACATCCGGGGGAGGTACTGGCAGTCGGCGACGGCCGCCGGCGAGGTCGTCAGCGTGCACCAGCCGAGCCACGAGGAGCACCAGCTCACCGGCGAGGCCACGCACGACATGAAGGCGCTGGCCGAGATGTACCTGCTGAGCATGACCGACGCGCTCGTCACCAGCGGCTGGTCCACGTTCGGGTACGTCGGCCACGGCCTCGGCGGGCTCACCCCGTGGATCATGTTCAAGCCTGAGAACCTCACCACGCCAGACCCGCCGTGTGGCCGGGCCGCGTCCATGGAGCCGTGCTTGCACGGGCCTCCCTTCTACGACTGCAGGGCCAGGCGTGGCGCCGATACCGGGAAGCTCGTGCCCCATGTCCGGCACTGCGAAGACATGAGCTGGGGACTGAAACTTGTTCACACGGAATAGTACTTAACTGAACGGCCATGTAAAATGAAAACACTCGATCACAAATTGACAATGAACATCTTACTACGCAATTAGGCATGTCATTACCCCCTCGACATAAAAGAGGTAATTGCCTATTGGTGCTAAAAGTTTGATCACTTTAGTGCTAAACTTGTAGCCTACAAATAAGTGGTTCGAAAACTTGCCTTAGCGATGCAAATCGTTGTTGCATAAACCTCCGACGCTGACTAGGTGTGCCAATGTGTCATGGGCCGCAATCAGCGCCCGGGAGGTGGAGATGGGGCGTGTGGGTTCTCGTTAAAAGCCCCTAGATATTTCCTGCTCACAAAAAAGCCCTTGGCGCGGCGGGAAAGGCATGTCCCTTCATTTTTGTACAGATCATATCACAAAAAAATACTCCCTCCGTTCCCAAATACTTGTCTTTCTAGGCATTTCAAATGGACTCAACATACGGATGTATGTAGACATATTTTAAAGTGTAGATTCACTCATTTTGCGCCCGTATGTAGTCATTTGTTGAAATCTCTAGAAAGACAAGTATTTAGGAACGGAGGGAGTAGATGCATTATAGCGGCTCGACTCGCCCGACTCCTAGGGAAAAAAGTAGACTGATGAAAGATCACTGACCCGCAGATTTTGTTGAACCAAAAAAAAGGTATGCTGCCGTATCACATACTTTGCCTGTTGCGAGTAGTTCTATGCACACACGAGATGTTATCTTGCAACATTATTTTACTAGAAGCACTACCAAATTCTCTGGACATTATAAGTTGAATATATAGTTGATCATGTATGCATCACGCTCGTGTATTACAGGCTTCGTTGCAAATTACTACCAGTACATTCTATCGCCAAAATGGACGGTCGCGGCAACCCGCGCCATCTCGATGATCTAGTGTATATATTGTAACCATATCTTGTGTTTTAATATAGCACAGGAGGAGCCTCTCCTACTATTTCAAGCTTAAAAAAATATTTGCCACATTTGAGTGCATGGCTAATTGAACTTTTCTTTGCATATAATGTTTCCAGATTCTTGTATGAAGATATTAGTTCTCGATTGGGAGTCGGCACATGGTGTTAGATGTGCACTAGCGATTCATTTTCTCTTGAGAAAAGGCAAGAATTATGGTAGATGTAATGGATTCGTTTCATAATTTATTTCAAATGAATGACATAACTACAATTCTAAAGAATGGGCAAGCTTTTTTCACACGGATTGTTTCTGTTTTGTTCCTTCCTTGCATGTGACATATTAAAATATAAATGACATAAATCCATTTATTGAAATATTAAAAAAATTAATTTATTTAATTTGAAGGAGAGAGAGAGAGAGAGAGAGAGAGAGGGAGAGGGAGAGGGAGAAGAGGGTATTTGAACCAATAGTTCTAGTTATTTTATTTCTAGTAATCATCATGCTAGGCGTCATTTTATGAGAGTTATTTTGGTAAATTATGTGGGTCACATCGAATATCTAAAATGTTCTTACACATTGTACTCTATATGTTATTCTACAATGAGGGGGAATAAATCATTGCTTGTATTGCTGCCCATCTATGCACACTAAGTATTTCTATCATGTTATCAAATATCAATATAGACTCTGATCATATCATGGTTTCTGAGCAGGGCAATGCCACAGTTGCGGTCGCCGCCAGTTCTGGTACACATCAGATACCCAACCCTGACTCACCTCCTCGTTGTTGCTCCCATGCCACTTCCCTTCGAGAGCGTCAACATTAGTTGGGTGAAGCCCACCCATCTGACTCCTACCATTGAGCAATTGTTCTCACCCTAACCACCATATTATTGTCAAAGCTTAGTTTCTCCCCTCCATTGTTTACACATTCACATTAATCAGTGATATCATTTATATTTATTTTGGACTTAAGACGTACTCCCTCCATCACGGTTTAGAAGGCGCGCTTGAAAATTCTCTGGAACCTAGGTGGTTATCTATTGGTTATGAGATGGGCTAAAAAATAGCATTCATACTACACATGCATATAGAAATAGTATATCGAAGTACTAATTAGCTACTAGAAATAAATGCAATGCGCCCTAAACCTTGTCTATTGTGAAAGCGCACGCAAATTTCCTTCTAAACTGTGACGGAGGGAGTACAATAGATCCCTGAAGTTATCTAATTTAATTATTGCCCCCCACCCCCACCGTCTCCTTAAATTTCCTGAGCATGAGGAAGCCCCTATCTCCTCCAAAGGCAAGGTTAAAGGGAACTAGGGCCAGTCATATGGAAAACATAGATGGTTATCCTCTAGAGAAGTTGGAGAATGGAACCATATTCTGCTTTGGATTTTAAGACTTTAATTGGACCACCAGCTAAGCTAAGTCCACACCCCACGGCAGTGATGTAAATCCACTATGTTTTGTCATGAAATATATCCTGCAAATCTTTCACACTAGTTGAAACTTTACAGGTTGGCATCGTAATCTCAACCTTGGAATTTAGTACTACTAATTAGTTTTGTGATATTAGGAAACACCATACTTCTGAAACAAAGACCTAAAATGTCACGAGACGTGTAGTAATCTCCACATAAATCCCACTTATGTTCTGTCATGCAATATCATCCATATCTTCCATCCTACTTTAAACTTTACACATTGGCATCGCAATCCCAACCTGTAGAAAACACGATGCTTCCAAAACGAACACCTAAAAGGTCACCCGTCCTGTAGCAATGTCCACATAAATCCGATGTTCTAGAGAATTCAGAAGTGCGGATATATCACACCCAAAGCCGAACGCTTGGCTTCAGGTCTGATCGAACCAAATGACACAGCAATGCCTAATTGAACTAAGCAAATAAAACCACTTTATTTCGATTTCTTGTGCCATCCGCAGATGTTTCCAAAGATAAAAAGCCGTGCACACTTTCTTCAGGCACCTGTTAAATAGTACTCCTAACTACATAACACCCATGCAAACTGTACTGCCTGTTCATTTCCTCTCTTCTCGAGTCTACCACAAGTCCGACGAACCACCACCCCGGCCATGGCAACCACCCTTGCCACCGATGTCCGCCTCTCAGTCGCGCACCAGACCCGCTTCGCCCTCCGCCTCGCCTCCGCCATCTCATCCGACCCCGAATCTGCTACCGGCAACGTCGCCTTCTCCCCGGTCTCACTCCATGTCGCGCTCAGCCTCATTACTGCCGGCGCTGGCGGCACCACCCGCGACCAGCTCGTAGCCATACTTGGGAACGAGAATGCAGGCGGGCCCGAGGGACTCCACTCGCTCGCGGATCAGGTGGTACAGTTAGTGCTTGCCGATGCGTCCATCACCGGCGGCCCGCGCATCGCCTTCGCCAACGGCGTGTTTGTAGACGCGTCGCTCTCCCTCAAGCCTTCCTTCCAGGAGCTCGCTGTGTGCAACTATAAGTCCGAGGTCCAATCCGTGGACTTCAAGAATAAGGTTGACCACCTTCCTTTTTACTGCTAGTTCAAAAAGTGATAGTTTTCTTTCTACATGTCTATATGTCGTTGTTACTCAGTGGTAGTTTTGTTCTGATATAGTAATGTAGAGATGGGTATCCTTTGACATTCTGCTAAATCTTTTCACCAATCTAGATCTTTAATTTACTGGCTTCCATGCAAATGCTTTTTAGATCATTTACTTAATTAGATACAATTATGACGATCCAGCAGTGATGATACGTTTAGGTATAATTATGAAGATCTAATGGCCTTGACCTACTATTAAGTACAATTATGAAGGCCTAACTATCATGACATTTTAGGTATAATTATGAATATAATGGCGGTGATATATTTAGGCATAACCATGATGATCTAAGGTCGTGATCTGTGTAGGTACAGTTATGAAGATCTATCGATCATCATATATTTAGGTACAATTATGAAGTTCTAATTATCACGATTTGTTTAATTAGGTACATATTTATGCTTATTTACAATTGTAATGATTTAAAATTTTGCGATCCAATAATAATCAAATGGTCAACTAAATCAATGGTCGGATGTTCTACTTTCATTTTTAAAATATCTAATTAAGCAATCTCTTGTTTTCACTTGTATTGTGCTTTTAGTATACAATTGATATTTTACGGATTGTCCACATTTTTTTGATATTTTACTTTTTTTAGGTTTTTTTATATTTTACTGCTAGGTACTTTATCAGATCATTAGGAATGGCTGCGGCCTTTTTGTATATTTGAATATGCAACCCTTTTTCAAGTAGGGTGTGTTGCAAGACTTCTCATGGTGAGAAGTTGTGCCATTTTTCTTACGTGGTTTTCGTTGCCATCATGGGATTCTCTCGTTTCTTAGAAAATATACGAAATAAATCAACAATCGGTTATAATCATGGAAAGATCGTACTACAAAGGAAATTGTAGATGTCATGACCATCTAACCGTTAATACTATTTCTGTCATCAGTTGGGTATGTGACCTTTTTACATAGAAATTATGTATAAAAGATGTCGATACACCGTTTTTGATTCCTTGTGCCATTGTTACCTTTTGTTCTTGTAAATTTTGTTTGAAAAGGAAATAACATTTGGTTAGTCAAAACTTTGGTCATTGTGGCACAACAGTATGTACAGTTTAACCTATTTTATTGCACAATCTTATGCTTTCTTGGTTTATATCATTCTAGAAACTGCAAATAGATATTATTCTGATTTTGTTTTGCCAAGTGCTGATGTATTTTGCCATGGTCCGGGCTCCTGAAGTTGCTAGTCAAGTGAACTCATGGGTAGAGAATGTCACAACAGGTCTCATCAGAGAGATCCTCCCTAAAGGGTCTATTGACTACACCACTAGACTGGTTCTTGGTAATGCCCTTTATTTCAAGGGACTTTGGACTGAGAAATTTGATGAATCTAAGACAAAATACGACAAGTTCCACCTTTTAAATGGGGACACTGTTCAAACACCATTCATGTCCAGTACAAATAAGCAATACATTTCATCTTCCGATGGCTTGAAGGTACTTAAGATTCCATATCAGAAAGGTGGAGACAATAGGCAATTCTCCATGTACATTCTTCTTCCTAAAAGACGTGATGGTCTCTGGACCTTGGCCAAAAGGTTGAGCACTGAATCAGAGTTCATCGATAAGCATATACCAACGGAGAAAGTTGTAGTTGAGCAGTTCATGCTGCCAAAGTTCAAGATATCGTTTGGATTTGAAGCAACCAATTTGCTCAAGAGTTTGGGTCTTCAGTTGCCATTTAGCACAGAGGCAAACCTTTCAGAGATGGTGAATTCTCATGTGGGCCTATTCATCTCATCTATTTTCCACAAGTCATTTGTCGAAGTGAATGAACAAGGAACTGAGGCTGCAGCGGCAACTAGTGTAGCGATCGAACAACAACAGATGCCCATTGTGATGGACTTCGTTGCAGATCACCCTTTCCTCTTCCTTATCCGAGAAGACGTCATTGGTGTGGTTCTCTTCATCGGTCATGTGGCCAATCCCCTCGTGTCTTCGTAATATGTTTGCCCTAAATATGTGTGTTGGTAGTTGCCTCAACTATTACATGTAAGGGAAGGGTTTCAACATCCAATAAGGTTGCTTGTGCAATCAATCCAATAAATGGTTTTGATTTTCAGAATGTCTTGCTTGTTGTGCGAGGTTTGCGGAAGGGTGGTAATCAAGGATTGTTGTGGAGCCTTGTGCTTTGAGTTACTTAATAAATTAGTTAAGCATCCTGATGAAATGCTTCTTGACTAAGTATGAAATGGTCTTCACATAATTTAATATCAATCTAGCACTACAAAAAAAACACATCCGTGACATTTTGGGCCGAACGTTTTTTTCCTATCATGCTTATGACACTTCTATGATGATAATTGTGACAAAACCCGATATCATCATAGATGTGATGGGCTCCTACTTCTATGACAAAAAGCATGACAGAAAATGGGCTTTTCGTCCTGGGCGGGCTGGAAACGCACCTGCATGACATTGTTTGGGCCGTCCATGACGGAAAAAATCATAGTAGAAGCATGGGCGATGAAAATTTCAGGGAGTTCCTGATAACCCACAAGTATAGGGGATCGTCTGTAGCCTTCTTCGATAAATAAGAGTGTCGAACCCAATGAGGAGCCAAAGGCGGAACAAATATTCCCTCAAATTTTATCGACCACCAATACAACTCTACGCACACTTAACGTTTGCTTTACCTAGAACAAGTATGAAACTATATTGCAAGAATAAAACTACGAGTACTTTGTGAGAATAAAACTACAGATAAATTGCGAGACAATAAAAGTGGATAGCTTTTGTCAACAAGAAAGTCATTTGTCCCTAGGCAATCGATAACAAGTACCGGTAATCATTCTTGCAATTTTACGTGAGGGAGAGGCATGTGCTAACATACTTTCTCTACTTGGATCATATGCACTTATGATTGGACCCCTAGAAAGCATCCGCAACTACTAAAGATCATTTAGGTCATGAAACCCAACCATAGCATTAAGTATCAAGTCCTCTTTACTCCCATACGCCATAACCCACTTATCCGCGTTTAGGCTGCTGTCACCCCCGCAATACTGACAATAAGCAAACCATGAACATATTGCAACACCCTACAGCGGGGGCCCCTCACGTTTACGCGAGACGGAGGGCACCATAGGACAACACCATAAATCAAAAGTACAAACCAACCAAGATCACGATTAACCAATAGGACAAAACGGATCTACTCAAAGATCATAGGATAACCATAGATCATTGGAAAATAATATATGGAGTTGAGAACTATGTTTAACTAGAGATTACAGCGGGGAGAAGGGGTGTTACACCGCTGCATAAATGGGGGGAAGTTGGTGTTGACGGTAGAAAGATTGTTGATGTAGATCGCCGTCACGATCCTAGCCCCGGTGGCGTTCTGGCACCACCGGGAGAGAGGGGAGAGAGCCCCCCCTCCTTCTTCTTATTCCTTGGCCTCCCCCTATGTGGAAGGAGAGTTCCCCTTCTAGTCCTTGGTCTCTATGGCGGCGGAGGGGTAGGAGCCCCTCCAATATTGGATCTCCCTCTCTGTTCTCTTATGTTTTGTGTTCCCCAGATCTGGCCGAAAACCGTTTCTGTAGGATACCTACCATATTTAATGTGGGGTTTATGTGTCATCTCCTCATGAGCCTGGAAATGTACGCACGTCCCATCACTATCGCTTAGCGTCGCCTCCTATTACCGTGCTACACACTGTAACAGGTGTTGGGAGTGCGGTAAAAGGGCTTAGGTTCTCGACACATCACGACCGCTTAAGAGGAAGGCGACCTTCGCACGCTAAGCGGCGGAAAAGGCATGCGGGCTGCGTTGCTGCTAGGCTGGGCCACAATGGCGTCGAGGCGCATGCAATTCCCCTAGTGGGTCGGACGTGGAGTGCTGCGGATCGGGTTGAACGAGCCGACCCCGGGGGAGCATTTCCTTCGTGGGATCCCACACCTTGGGCATTCCCGGAAAAGGTTGTTGTTGTCTTGGTATTTCCTCGTACCTTCTTGTTGGTGTGGAAGCCGAAGGCCATGTGAGAGTGGCGCTTCTCGATGACCTGCCTATAGTTCTTATAACTTCATGTCATTATACCCTCAAGGAGGAAGTGCAGGTGCACCTTGCTATGCTGAAGTCTTCCTGATCTCCCGGGAAGGGATTCACTGCTCGCGTCGCGCGTAGACGGGTTTAGGGGTACCTGTTAGCCACGACACCGACACCTATTTCCGGCAACCGAAACGCAGACGACCGCGAGTCTTTCGGCGTGGAGTCACCGCATACCAGAAGAGAGCGAGAGGGGGGAATGAGGGAAACTATGCACGGTGATTGGAAGAAGCGGACGAGAAGGAGAGAAAAGGGGAGACGAGCGTAGTGGGGGCGTTCGTGGCGGGTGGCATTTACGGCGAACGGTGGGAGGAAACTGTCATGGCACTGCTAGTAGTTGTAAGATTCGTGTAGTGCGATGGATGGCGATGGATGCTTTCATGCCGGAAAGCCAGAAAACCGACGTCAGATTTTTATCAATATAGCTATTTTTTCCATTAATATATTCTCGATAAAAGGCAACTAAGACGGTAAGGACATGTAGTCTTTCTTTCTCACTTTAGCTACTTGTAAGTTACCTGGATTTTCAATTTGGCTCAGTTGATTTCCTGGCAGTTGATTTTTGCTCTAAGATTCGTGTTGCTCGTTTTCCTAGCATGTGATGTTTGTTGTGCTGGGTTTTTGTTTACTAACCCCATATGGGTTAGTTGATTTGCTAATGGGCCAAATCCCATTAACTATGCGATGCAACCCTCATCTCTCTCCCTTTGTATTTTTATGTTATCTGTTTTTGTGTGTTCTTGTTTTTGTTTTTTTATTTGTTAGTTAGTTTTCATTTTTCTTTTGTTGGTATTTTAGGATTTTAAGTGAGTGTAAATGTGTACACATAAATACTATGCAATATGTGCGAAAATTAAACTATTATATGATTGTTTTTTGCATACTACAAAACGTGCAATTTTAGAATGAAGTTGTGTGCAAGTTTCTAAAAATTATTTCGTTATCTTTCTACTTTAAAGGGTAATACTAGTGAGAGGGGCGTTTTGGAGCTCGAGCTCAACTGCACCCATAATCTAAGTCGTCGATATCTGCCTTGGGATGCGAACAAAACCTACTGTGCTGTCAGATACGGGCATCGGATAAATAGGGAATCTCCGAAATACAGTAGGGAACAGTGGGCAATACGTGGGGTCGAGGCGAGGCAGGCGTACGGACGGCGCGGTTGCTCGGTCTGGGCCATGGATCAGAACAATGGCTTTCCTTCTAGGCCATGAACCAGGAAGTTACCTTTTCTACTCTGGGCCTTGGTTCAGATAATGGGGCCTGGACGGTGGGCGGAATCTGTGCCGTCGTGTCGGTCGAAGGGGAACGTCTCGTGCACATGGGCAACAACAAAAAAAAGATTTGTCCATCCCCTTCCCCAGCTCGTTGTGGAAGAGCTGTGACCGGCGGCGTAACCTAGAGTGTGAGCGACTTGAATGCGATACTGCTGTCGGGCGGTGCCGGACGGAGTTCCTGGTCGGCGGTGGCTGCGTTTGCAAGGCAGGATACCGAACTATGGAGGCGGAGGGAATGGAGTTCCTGCTCGACGCAGTGGACAGGTAAGTTCCGGGCAGATCTTTGCATTTTTTGTTATCCTTTGCTGCATCCAGCTCGTAGCTATAAATTCTGCTCGACCTGCCCTGCATACGAATCTGACCTCTATTGCCGGCTAATCGCCTTTCCTCGCGCAGATTTCCCGTACGGGAAGAATTTGCTGACAGCCTTGAGCAACCAGATCTAGTGTCGCTCCTCTATCTGCTGCAGAATGGGGGTGCAACTGAAGGTCGCGTTGAGGCCAATGGGGAATCTGGGCTAGCTCAGGTGGATGTCGAGGGCGTAGCTGCAGACCGACCACATGGTGAACGTCGTCCCCGTGCTGAATCTCCGATGAGGTCTGCTCAGTCAACTGACAGGGTGAATCCGCAAGCCCCCGGGTGGACAAAAAGGTAAGAGCACATGATCTCCTCCCTTGTTCTTTGTCATTCAACAGATGAGTTCACATGAGCATCACATGTATGTGCAACACGTATAGACTGAGATAGAAAACAACCCAATAGATCCTAAATGATGTCATGAACACTGTGGGTCGATTGAGCAATACCTCTTGGAAAATAACCTGAATTGAGGGACCAGATATTTTTGCAACTGGTCTGAAGAATGTAAATTCACCTAATGGCGTTGCAATCTTCTTGCCAAAGACAAGAAAATAAGACAGATAGCCATGTTGGGAAAATGAAGGTTTGACAGCAGAGATTTCTTCCTATTATGGTGTTAATATGAACTCAGTTAAAACCGCATCAACTGGCATAACATTGAATCGTACTTCTGTATGTGTATATTCTTTTTTGCCGATGTGCGATATGAAAATGAAATAATGTGAATGGAGAACTAGCTAGATGAATCGTCGCATCTCAGTTGAAAATTCGGATAGAATGGATACAGTTAACGTTTACTTTTGTGCAACATTCAGGCTGCGTCTCGGAAGCGCGCCACCCGACCGAGTCCCATGCCCTTTGAGGATGAGTGCTCTAGAGATTTCTATACGCAAATATGCGGAGCAGCCTGACAAGAGTGTCGTTTGGCCTGAGTTGGGGCTCAGTTTCGATTCGCTTGGCGAGGCATATGACTTCTACAACCTATATTCTTGGGAAGTCGGTTTCGGAATAATATATGGAAAGAGCAGACTCAACGTCGAGCGAACGAAAACCATGCAGGAAATTGTTTGTGGTTGCTCGATGAGTTCATAATTTGATTCCAACAAAGAAAAATTTAGATAGTAGTGTGTGCAAGCAAGATTTCATCTGGGAAATGGTGCACTGCTGACTGTTGACATGTCTTCCTTTGTGGTGTGCAGGGGAAACCTGAATCCGAAAACAGCAAGTCCTGCAGATGTGAGTGCCCTGCTCTGATCAGGC